ACACACACACACACACACACACACACACATACATACATACATATATATAAAAAAACGGTACATATGGGCCATAATCTACTATGCACACTAATAATTAATACGAGACTCTCAGTTGCTTTGGTACAAAACTACTTGTCCTCAACATCTGGTTACATTTAATCGATCAAGTTCGACATTTCTGCTGTGAAATAGCTTCAGATCTGAAGCTATTTGGTAAATGGACTTGTATGGCACGTTCACATCATTTCATCATACACACTATCCTATGCCTAAAATGTTTTTTACATACTGTGCATTTTTACGACATACTGTTTTCTACATACTATAGCATTATTTTTTTTACTATGACTTTTTTTAACGACTTTTGCAGGTAAGCCATTAAGCGGTGCTGTTTGAACGAATTGTTATAAGAAATGCAATTACTGTTTGAAAAATGTTCAGGATGAAGCAAAGAAATGCATCGAAGCGACAGAATAACTAGTTACAGCCCAAGTATGACACGGTGATATAATGGACTTCTTTCAGCCCACTAAATGATCCTGCTTTCTGCTTGAACAATCATACTGTCATTGTATGCAAGAAGTAAAGTAAGTAGATTAATGAAACTGGAGGAAGAAATTAAAGGACTAAATACTCCTGAAGCCAAAACAAGAATCAAAGAAGTTAAATTCACAGCTGACCTTCCATCCCAGGTCACTGAAGCTGACGTAGAGTTCATGTTTTTTACAGGCCTGACCTCCGCTGTTTACAGGACTCCGATCTGAACAAGAAGAAAAGAACATTTAGTTCAAAACAAGATTTTATCTCTATCATTTATATATTTTAAGGTTTTAAAATGACCTCCGCAATCAGTACATCGAGTCACCGAGGTTGGGTTCCCTTTGATTACATTTTACGTAATTCAAATTAATTTATTAATATCTGCATAACAACAAATTGATGTCATTTCTTCATAGATTGTATAAGCTGAACTAATGATTCACATTTAGGAATCGGTCTTTTAATGAAGGATGATTTCCTCATATTGAATCTTGAAAATTTGCCAGATAAATATCTTTTTAAAATCCCGGGACCTTGTGAGACTCAAATAACATTAGAGCATCAAATGCATAGCTGTGGGTGCCGGGACCCTCACTATGGATGCTGGGGACTGGGAGGTCGTATTTGGGTTTCTTCTTGCGGGGATGTGGCTTCACAGCTCGCGGCGGCCGACACGGGACCTGATTCTCCCTGAAGAAGGTCACCATGAAGGGCTGTTTGGAGCGAGGGCCCCTGCGGCCCACCAGCCCGATCCAGCCTGCAGACAGGGAGCGGTCTGGGAGAGGACACAGTAATATGAGTAGAATTCATACAGTAGTACTGGCAGCAGTACTACTGTACTGTACAGTAATTCAAATAAACCAATCAATTCATTTGGATGTAAATTACACCAATTAAAAGGGGATTATGATGGTCCTCTGGTGTACCCACCCTCCTCTGTCTCCACATAGAGACGTATGCCCAGGTTGCTGCGGGGGTGGAGGAGCCAATGGTTGGAGGCCGAGGTGACGTCAAAGGCCAGCCAGCCCTCCTGTCCTGCAGGCACTGACTGCATGTCCAGCAGCACCAGCTCTGGTTCTCTGAACAAAAGGTAGAACATAATGTCAACTTGATCAAACAGCGAAAAGAAGAAGGCTGAGAGAGATAAAGGTAAACATTGAACTTTCACTCCTACAATCAAGCAAACGATTACATCTTTATACTAAATGATGAATAATACGTTAACTGATTTGAACATTTGGCAGGATGTTACACTCCTTCAAAATAAAAGCAGGCATTTGTATAATTTGCAGTGGTCAGGCTCAAGATCTTTTGGGGATTCATTGTTTGCTCAAGTACACTCAAACCCTTTAAGTCTGTTTGAAGGATGTATTCTTGATTACACCCGAACCCATTTATCAAAATCAATAAAGAGGAAGATGGATTTCCCTAATTTTGCAATCAACAACACTGACAAAAGTTAACTTGAAAAAAATGTCTTGCTTTCGGGTGAGTAGACTTCAGTTGATCACCAGTCAATGGGAGGATTACGACAGAGCTACGGTTTGTTTGCAAGTGAGCCAGATCGTCAGAAAGACTAGAAGTGGCCCCACAACATGAGAAACAGCGTGTTGCTTATCTTGTGGCTCCACACAGCTCTGGACAAGTATGTCAATCGTAACCTGTGTTTGCTCTCTCGTTGGATCTCGTAGACGGAGATGTGCAGTGTTCGGTTGGCCCTCTGGCCCATCGTCAGAGTCTTGTAAATGCGAAACTCTGCCGCCGTCACCGTCTCACCCTGAGGGAGGGGAGTCAGATCGAAACGAAACTCCTTCCAGTACGGACGAGGCTGCAACAGGTCACGCTCCTGCTCCACTGCAGAGAGAGAGAGAGAGAGAGAGAGAGAGAGAGAGAGAGAGAGAGAGA